AAGTTTAAAATGTTGGTTCAAATCTAAACGGCGACCTCTCTATGTCACTCACTGTGAGGGGTCGTGAGGGTGCATGCTAAGTTTGGCTGAGATCAATAACATAACTTGGAGTATATATAAAATGCCCTGAAGGATAACGTAATTGGGTTATATACAAATGCTGATCCCTTTTGTCATTCCCCGCAGGACTCTAAGGTCATATGCCAGTTTTGTTGACAAACAGTTGCCCCTCAGTGGCACAGTTGTATGTCTGCGGACTTACATCGCTAGAATCCGGGTTTCGATACCCGTGGTGGGCAGAGCCCAGATAGCCCATCATGTAGCTTTGTACATAATTACAAACAGTCCATAGTTTAGTCAGTTATAAGCAGACACACACACATACAGACATTTTTTTCAAATAACATTTATAAGATTACTGTTAAGTTAATCGTATTCAAAAACCCACAGAAGTGGATAATTTTTTAACTATTGAAGATAAACTATGTATATATATAGTTACAATACATAAATTGTTATCGACCGTTGTTATCATTGTCAGTGATGGACATTTGTCAGTTTGCATTATTTATATATATATATATACACACAATTTATAGTTAAAAATAGTGATGATCACTGCAATCACCGAAAAAAAGTATCAAAGAAATATTCTAACAAACATTAATCGAGTTAAAACTGACTGGATATGTGAAAAGACATTCTCTGTTCGGTAATTTAAAAAAAATTTAAAACGAAAGAAAGTACTTTTATGTTTCTTCAAAATAACAAAAGTTTAGAAATGTCATAAAAGAAATACTAAATCAAATCATATGAATTTTTAAACCCAACTACGACGTTACTTGTAAGTTTGTATTAATTTTCAAGCAATTTAATTAAGTACTTCTACTGTGAGAAGGAAGAAATGTAGGAATATCAGTGCAAGCCAGTGATTTCACGTTGGTTTTCACGCTAATGTTTTTTATTATTATTATTACTACAACGTAGGAAGAAATGTAGGAATATCAGTGCAAGCCAGTGATTTCACGTTGGTTTTCACGCTAATGTTTTTTTATTATTATTACTACAACGTAGGAAGAAATGTAGAAATATCAGTGCAAGCCAGTGATTTCACGTTGGTTTTCACGCTAATGTTTTTTTTTACCATTATTATTACAACGTAGGAAGAAATATAGAAATATCAGTGCAAGCCATTGATTTCACGTTGGTTTTCACGCTAATGTTTTTTATCATTATTATTACAACGTAGGAAGAAATTTAAATTAAAGTTTACGTAACTGGTAAATTAAGACCACTGAAAACCGTCTTTAATGGCTATTTTAGTTTAAATTTTTTTAATTGCGACTATAATGTTGCCCTATTTATTCTTGTAACTTATTGATAAACTTTCTTTTTTAATCAGTATAAATAGGAACTTAAACTTCCAGCCTCTAATTACCTAAACTGTTAGACATTTAGCCTGATTGTTTGAATATTGTTAGACATTTCGGTATGTCTATGTATGGCGTGTAGTTTTTCTTAGTCCCAATTTCAAGAAAATGATTCTGCTTCAAACACTAAAAATTAGTTTGTCAATCGCAGATTTTATAATTTCCGTACCGTCTGCAGCTCTAGTTTCGAGTTGGTCTCCAGCTATATTATTATATCTCTAGCAGCTGATTTTCAGCTTTATCACTGTATCGACAGGAGCTGATTTCCCGCTTTATTATTGTGTTTATAAGGGCTGATCTCCAGCTTTATCGCTGTGTTTATAGGGCTGATCTCCAGCTTTATCACTGTGTTTATAGGGCTGATCTCCAGCTTTATCACTGTGTTTATAGGGCTGATCTCCAGCTCCATCGCTGTGTTTATAGGGCTGATTTCCCGCTTTATTATTGTGTTTATAAGGGCTGATCTCCAGCTCCATCGCTGTGTTTATAGGGCTGATCTCCAGCTCCGTCACTGTGTTTGTAGGGGCTGATTTCCAGCTCCATCACTGCGTTTATAGAGGCTGATCTCCATCTTTATCATTATGTTTATAGGGCTGATCTCCAGCTTTATCACTGTGTTCATAGGACTGATCTCCAGCTCCATCACTGTGTCTATAGAGGCTGATCTCCAGCTTTATCAGTGTTTATATTGGCTGATGTCCAGCTCCATCACTGTGTCTATAGAGGCTGATCTCCAGCTTTATCACTGTGTTTATAGGGCTGATCTCTAGCTCCATCACTGTGTCTATAGAGGCTGATCTCCAGCTCCATCACTGTGTCTATAGGAGCTAATCCCCAGCTTTATTATTGTGTCTATATAGAAGCAAAGTTTTAGCTTGATTATCATGAAGATAAGAGCTGACCCCCTGATTTTATTACTGTGTATATGCGAACTGTTCTTCTATGGTATGCAAGCTTACCATGAACACGAGTTCTTAATTTAGAAAGTCGGTCAAGAAAGACTCTTAAGTTACTCTCGCCTTTACCGCTCACTGAACTAGGTCATTCAACTAGGTCATCACACGTGCTTTCTCTGAGAAAGGATTACTGTAATATAGTGCATATAGTATAGAGAGAGCGACTGCAGTCTTTTCTACCAGTAATTCAGTGAAGCTCAAGGGATATAACATCACTTCTTTGGCAGTGAAAGTGATCAACAGTCGTGTGAAGGGCGTCTATGCACTCAGTAGTATGGCATTGTTGTTTTTCCTATAAGGTTTGCTAAACAACACTGTGTCACCTCTTACACTACCAATATGAAAACTATAAAATACAGCACTGATAACTTGATTTAGTTTCTCGAAGCGTTGTTGTGGTGATTTGCGGTTTAACAAAAGCAAAATGCATTCCGTCATATCAATGTGAACAACAATTTGAAGCACTTATTGTTTAGAGTTAACGCCCTAACTTTAAAATCCTATATTCAAGTGTGTTATTGTATTAATGACTTTAAACCAATTTTTTCAGCGGTAATTTTTTTATTGTATTCACTATGCTCCCCAGTGGCACAGCGGTACGACTGCGGACTTACAAAGCTAAAAACAGAGTTTCGATACCTGTGGTGGGCAGAACAGAGATAGCCCTTTGTGTAGCTTTGTGCTTAACTACAAACAAAACAAAATGTATTACGTATTGTTGACCCCATTAAATAACAAATATATTTGTTAATAATCTTAAATCTTAGATTTATACGATAGCACAAAGAAAAAATTAAATTTATTATCACTATCAAATCGATTTCTAAACAAACACAGTTTATCTATCTTCATGTCTTAAAATGGACGGAAATTATATAAATTCGTGATTAATGAAAGGTTATCTTATGACATGAATTGTTACTTCCCTTATACGTAATTGTATAAAACGCCCATAATAACTGTTAAACACAAAATGTAAAACCGCAACTTTGCATGTATCTCCACATAAACTCAATAACTATCCATACAATTTTGTGAAGATCCATCTACAAGAAGCAAAGGAGTGGTAAAAAAACGCCCATAAAAACCGCAAAACGCAAAACTGAAAATTTATATGCATCTCCCCATGGATCCAATAAACCTCCATACCAAATTTGGTGAAGATCCATCCACAGGAGGTGAGGTAGTGGTAAAAAACACAAAAAAAATGCCAATAAAAACCGCAAAATGGAAAACTGAAAATTTATATTAATCTCCCCATGGATCCAATAAACCTACATACCAAATTTGGTGAAGATCCATCCACAGGAGGTGAGGTAGTGGTAAAAAACACAAAAAAAACGCCAATAAAAACCGCAAAATGGAAAACTGAAAATTTGAATTCATCTCCCCATGGATACAATAAACCCACATAGCAAATTTGGTGAAGATCCATCCACAGGAGGTGAGGTAGTGGTAAAAAACACA